GCTTCAACTGATGGTGGCAGGGAAAATAAAATAAGATGAATACACTTAATATAAAAATATAAAAAACTCAAGGTTATTATGTTATTTTAAATAAAAAGAAATAAAAATTGTCTAAATTATTGTACTTCACTTTGCAAATCCTCTCCCACCTAAAAATTTGCAGACATATACGTAATTTTTAGCAAATCTTATAATGACAACTACATACCCCCTACAAATAGGCAACAAATAATGACGATTCTGTGCGAGTACTCTGCTGTACAAGAATGTTGCAATATAAAACAAAATGAATTACCAAGTAATAAATAACAGTGACACAGAACGAGAACCTAAAAAACCTAAAGTAGGTGGTTTCAATCTCCGCATCAAAAATAACCAGTAAAGAAAACTTTAAACTTTATGATACCCTACACCACTTTGCTAATTTAGTAGAGCTCCGCATAACAATTAAACGTTTTAATGGGAGAATTCAACATACACGCTATAATTATAATTATTATAATTATTATAATTATAATTAATAATTTTTATTATATATATTATTATAATTATAATTAAAACTTTAAATTATAATTACAATTATGTTTATAATTATAACAATTATAATTATATAATTATAAATATATTTATAATTTAAAGTTCAAAGGAATCAAATCGGATGAACAGTATATATGGGAGCTATAGCTATATCTGAACCGATTTTCACCAAATTTGACATACTACCTTCTAGACTCAATTCGGTCGTAAGTGCCAAATCCATCCCATTTGGACAAATATTAGACGTTTGGTGCACAATAAAACGTAAATCGGTCAAAGTTTTATATGGGAGCTATATCCAAATCTTAACCGATCTCGATAAAATTTAGAAAATGTATTTCTGAGCTGTATTTGATATATTTCTCCAAATATTGTTGTTACAGAGTGCATATTACGGCTACGGGGTACAAAAATAACAAAAATACGAAGAGTTTGTGGACAAACATTTTTTGTATCAGAAACTGAGAACATAATGTGCCCTAATACCAATTAAAATATTACCAGTTCAACTCCTCTGTCAGACAAACAAAGCATGAAGTCTAATTAAATTGAACACAAATTCGAATCTAACGTTCTAAAACTAAAATGACAGCACTTGCACTTGCTCTGCACTTGATTCTTGGTTGCAGTTTAATAGGTACTTAGTATCTATGATATGTCTGTACAATCTTATTATTTCTAAGATTTATAAACGGAATCTCACACTTTATATACCCTCCATGCTATGTATGGAGCAGGATATAGAAAAAAGCGGACTCGTAATAAAATGTTAGTAAATAACAATTATCGCAATTCATTGGCCGGTCAGTAATTCAGTCGTTAACTAGTTATAGAATCGCACTATAGGTTCATATTCCCACTCTCCTGCTTCAATACAACTGAGTCCAACGGAGAAAAAAAAAACACGTTCTCGGACAATTCTAATATACCAATACTAGCAAATGCCAGTTACTTTGTATGCGGACAAAGAATGTATAATAAGTGAGTTTCTAAACTTTTTCCTAAATATAATGTACAGGGTAAGTAAAAAACTGCAACAAAGTCAAACGCCATAATAATTAAATTTTTATTCCCTCCATCGGCCCGGCCGAACATACAGCTTTTTTATATGTTTTTTTTTTTAATTTTATTGAATGAATTTTATTGAAAATCGGAAATAGCATCAACTTTTACAATGAGTTTAGATTTGTTCGAATTGGCCACCTTTGGCACGAATTATGAAACCGTCACACACTGCGCGAATGTTGCTCTCCAGTATTTTGGTCCATTCCCGGCGAAGCGCTTGCTTGAGGTGATCGACACTTTGTTATTTTTTGGTGCAAACCTTGCTTTCCAAAATACTCCAGACACAATAGTCCAACGGACTGGTATCCGGAGATTTTAGTGGCCATTGTGCACTGGAAATGAAGCGAAGAACGTCATTTTGTAGCCATTCTTTGGTGGCGCATGCTGAGTGCGATGGAATCCTCTCCTGTTGAAATGTCCAAGGTCTGTGGCCAAAATGTTTGCGTGCCAAAGGCTTTAATACATACTCCAGAATATTTTCGCGATAATATTCGGCATTTATTCTGATGCCACGGTCGATTAATACGAGCGGAGAGTGACCATCGACTGTAATGGCGGCCCACGCCACCACCATGGCCAGCGCTTGAGTTCTGGTGGCCAACCGAAGGTGCACATCTTCAGCTGACCTCTTTGGCAAGTAAACACGATCATTTTGTTTGTTTACAAACTGCTGACAACGAATGTTTTCTCATCGGAGGAAACCAAATTCGGCAATTTCACCACTTTCGGCCAAGCGAAGCCACTCTTTAGCTCTTTTGAGTTTTTTTTCTCTCTGTTGCAGTTTAAATTCTTGCACTGTTTGGAATTTTAATGGTTTTACCCCGAGCTCATTTTTCAATATTTGCCGAATGGGATATTGCGATATGTTCAGCACACGAGCCATTTTTCGGTCACAGCGTCCCTTCTTTACTTTTCGAACCATTTTTGCTGCTGTTGCGATTTTCTTCCGTACACTTGCTTTACGTCAGGCTACGCTACCAGTATCACGGTAACGAGCTATGATACGAGACACAAAAGATTTATTCACATTTAAATGCTGGAGTGCTCTAACGATAGCCACTTGTGGTTATTCAGCCAAATATAAAGAAATCACAAAATCATTATTGAATTATTGAATATTTTAAAATGACCATAACTGCTTAGATATTGAGTTTTCGGCGTTTTTACTTATTATTTGTGATCACTTTTCTAGGCATGAATTATTGAATATTTTAAAATGGCCATAACTCCTCAATTAGTGAGTTTTCTGCCGTTTTAGCTATTAATTGTGATCTCTTTTTAAAGCATGAATTATTGAATATTTTAAAATGGCAATAACTCCTTAAATATAGAGTTTTCGGTGTTTTTAGCAATTACTCGTGATCACTTTTCTAGAGCATGAATTATTAAATATTTTAAAATGGCAATAACTCCTTTAGTATTGAGTTTTCGGCGTTTTTAGCTATTATTTGTGTCCACTTTTCTAGGCATGAATTATTGAATATGTTAAAATGGCCAAAACTCCTTAAAAATTGAGTTTTCGGCGATTTTAGCTATTATTTGTGATCACTTTTCTAGGCATGAATTATTGAATATTTTTTTTTATTTTTCGGCGTTTTTAGCTATTATTTGTGATCACTTTTTAAAGCATGAATTATTGAAAATCTTTTAAAATGGCCATAACTGCTTAAATATTGAGTTTTCGCGTTTTTAGCTATTATTTGTGATCACTTTTCTATGCATGTATTATTGAATATTTTAAAATGGCCATAACTCCTTAAAAATTGAGTTTTCGGCGATTTTAGCTATTATTTGTGATCAATTTTTAAAGCATGAGTAATTGTACATTTTGAAATGGCCATAATTCCTTAAATATTGAGTTTTCGGCATTTTTAGTTTTTTGTGATCACTTTTCTAGGCTTGAATTATTGAATACTTTCTATACCCTTAGCCATTTGGCTAGAGAGGGTGTATATAATTTGAAGACATTTGGGGTCCATCTAGCTATATCCGACCGTCCGTATGTTTGTCTGACTGGCTGTTGCGCACAGTAACTCTCGAACGGAGTATCCGATTTGGTCCAGACTTGGTGCATCGTAATATTTTTATCAAACTTAGATCGAGTTAGGTGATGGGCAATATCTGTCCACTCGTTCCGGTACCTCCGCAACAAAAGATGGAAATTTTCAAAAATTAAATATTTTACTGCACAGAAAGGGAAAGGATGATCCGATTTTGCTCCAACTTTGCAAATCCTAATATTTCCATCAATGCTTCGGTGTGAAAATGACCAATATCGGCTAACTCCATCAAGTACCTATTTTGAATAATTATTAGATCAGATTCTATTCAGACTTGTTACGTGTCAATATTTTCATCAAGACAAGATCTGTTATAAAGATGGTAGAGATCGGAACATTTCTTCTGGCACCTCCCCCACATAGAGTTCAGGATTTTGAAAAACAAAAAGCTGAAAGAAGACGAAATAAAAATCCAACTCTATGCAAATTTCACACATACAAACATTTTTGCTAACACAAGATCTGTTGTAAAGATGCTTTATATCTGCGAACCCATTTTAGTACCTCACCTGCAAAGAGTCACAAATTTCAAAATATTGTTAAATAACCGAACATTGGCTGAGGGTATACATCTGTTGGCAAAGCCGACTGATACTTTTTTACTTGTTTGTGATCACTTTTCTGGGCTTGAATTGTTCAATACCCACAGCCATTAAGCTAGAAAGGGTATATATCATTTGATCATATATCATCATTATCATATGTCAAAATGAGATAACGATTTTAGACCCTTGGTCTCTTTAGACCAAGTTCGTTTCAGTACATTTGGAGTCGATCTAGCTACGATAACTCTCGAACGGAGTATCCGATTTGGTCCAAACTTGGTACAGCGTTATATTATTATAAAACAAAAGATCGACATTTTAAAATATCGGATGTCTGACCTTTTAATTGTCCAGCCCTTTTATCTGAAAAACTGAGTTTTTTTAGATGTTACATTCTCTGAGTACATGAGCTGTATGATCTTCAACAGCACATTAACAGAACTTTTCCAGGCAGATTAACAGAACTTTTCTGTCCGTCACATCCACGTCAAAGCAAGTTGTAATTCTTTCCTTTCTCACAATGTGGTGTAATGTAATTACTAAAAAAAATTGAATTAAATAACCCCCATATGTAACACCATAATTAAGTCACAGAAAAATGTGAATTTCTAATAAAAACTCCGAATATTTAAATTTTTATCAATATTTATATATTACCATTGCGGAACTGATAAATATTTATTATGCAATTTGATAATGACAAATTATCCCATAGATAAATATAAATAGGGTCGTTTTCGATTTAAGTGAAGTATAGCTTCAGTGAACTTAACACACACAGCACTTAGTTGCGAGTTCCAATAATCCAAATAAATTATTAATTTAAAATTAGAACGTTGTTTAGAAAAGAACAAATCCAATTGAAATTAATAGTGTTTGAAAAGTGCAAAACAGAGTGTGAATCTACGTTATATATATTTGGCAGTAAGTGTAATATTCGATTATTATTTTAATGAACGGCGTATAAATACACTGCAAAAATTATAATAACACAATTCAGCAAAAATATGATTTTTAATTGACGCGAACTCAATTTTAAGTTAAATCTGTAAAATCAGATGTACAAAAATCCTTAGAAGCATCAATCATTTGCATTTATTCTGTTTGGTGATTTTTATGCATCTTAAGTACGAAAATGATCTGATAAAATAAAGCATGTAAAGAAATCACACAACTAAAATTGGCTCTGCTCGTCGATATCGGGTCGATCAATTAACAAAATAGTAATTCAGCGAATTTATTATACCTCCACTACAGTATGGAGGGTATATTAAGTTTTTCATTCCGTTTGTAACACCAAGAAGTATGCATTTTAGACCCCACAAAGTATACATATATATACTTGATCAGCATTAAATTTTATGTCGATTTAGCGATATCCGTATGTCCGTCCGTCTGTGGAAATCACTCTAGCTTCCGAACGAAATGAAGTAAGTTTAGACTTTTAGAATTTTTCTTTAGTGTGTGTTATGTCTGTAGGACTTTTGGTATTAAAAATGGGCCATGTAGGTCACCATAAAATGGGTATAGCCCCCATAAAATGGTACCTCCTTCTTATTTGGTATATTGATGATTTAAACCACATTATTCACCGAAAAGGTTTCAAATTTGGTATTTCCTAGTTCGTAATAGAAACTACATCCTATGATAGAAAATTGTCCGTGCAGGTCCACGCTTTCGTATAGCCCTCATATAACGGTACTTCCGATATTCGGTATTTTCTTGATATTAACGAAATTATTTACAAGAAATATTTAAAATTTCGTATTTGAAGTTCGTAATAGGTACTACAGCCTATGACAAAAATGTTTGAATGCAGGTCCGAGTCTTCGTATGGCCCCCACATAACGCTACCTTCTTGTTTTCAGAATTTTGATGATTTGAGCGACATTATTCACCGGAATCGTTTCAAATTTGGTTTTTGAAATTCATAATAGATACTACAGCATATGACAAAAAAATTGTTCGTGCAGGTCCACGTTTTGGTATAGCCCCCACATAACGGTATATCCCGATATTCGATATTTTCATGATTTTGGCGACATTATTTACCGGAATTATTTCAAATTTGGTATTTGAAGTTCGTAATAGATTCTACAGCCTATGACAGAAAATTTATGATTTTAGCGACATTATTCACCGGAATTGTTTCAATTTTTTTTTTGAAGTTCGTAATGAATACTACAGCCTATGACAGAAAATTGTCTGTGCAGGTCCACGTCTTCATATTGCCCCCATATAATGATAATTATACCCTACAACACTATGTGTTGGGGGTATTATAAGTTTGAGTGGGCCAGAATTTATGTAACACCTCGAAATATTGGTTTCCCATATAGGAAAGTATATATGGATCTTCCTAGCTCGCCGAGCTGAGTCGATCTAGCTATGTATGTCCGTCCGTCCGTCTGTCCGTCTGTCCATGTTAATTTGTAATCACTCTGCAGGTCGCAATTATTGCCCGATCTTCACGAAATTTAGAACGAAGGTGGTGCTAGGGCCAGAATTGAACCCTATTTCTTTTGGAGATGATCGCATAATATTTAGGGGTTAAAATGGACCAAAAACTGAAAAATTTCCTGATTTTGCAGTAGCTTTACAGGTCGCAATTATAGACCAATCGACGCGGAATTGCGCATTTAGCTAGAGTTTAGGGCGGGGAAGTAGCCTACTAATTTGGGTGGTCATCGGACAATATTTAGCGGGAAAAATAGACCATATCTTTTGTGTTGAAAAAAATCTAAATTTTTCATTAAACCGCGAATATTTTAAATCCCGGCGAAATCACAAAGCCATGACAAGGTTACTTCTGACCTTTACATTGATGTTAATATCCAACTAATCGGATATATAGCAAAATATGTGCGATATATATGTCTATCAAAGAAGATATGCTTGAAAGATCCCTTATATGTCGAGAACGGCTGAACTGATTTCGACAGTTCTCATTAATTCAGAATGGCCTTTTGGCAGGAAAGAAAAAACGTCTAAAAAAATCGCATAAAAATATCTCTCTAAAGATAAAAATATTGATTTTGTAACATTTTCTCATATTTTTTCAATTTTGTCATATTTTTGGCTTATTTTTATTTTAAATTAAACATTTGGTAATATTTCTACAGCTAACAAAACTAAGTAGTTAGAATATCAGGATATCATATACAGATCGCATTTATGGCCCGATCCTTATGAAATTTTGCATAGGGATAAGATGAGGGTCAGAATAGAAGCCTACTCTTTTTGGAGATGATCGTCATATATTTAGGGGTTGAAATGGACCAAAAAAACTGCAAAATTGTCGGCAGATCGTAATATCGCCCGATCCTCACGCACATTTGAATGTGGGTTACCGGACATTGCAAAAGCCAAGCAGTTTTGGATGGCCATCCAAAAATATTCAATGTGTGAAATAGTTTGCCAACTTTTGTAGACAATATACGAAAACGTCCATTACAGTGACTTCTTGGAGAATTCACAAATACAGGAAAGACGCACTTCTGACTATTTCGTTAACGCTGATTTAGTTGAAGAATATAGTCAAATGTCTGTATCTCATATAGATGCGTTTCAGTCAAAAACCAATAATAAATGTTAATCTTTTGCCACTTCTGAGAGATTATAGGTCTTTGGGAAATATTGGTTCCAGATCTAGGAAGACCATCTACGTGCAAAATCTGCCAATAAATTGGAAATGAGCAAATTAGTTTAAGTTGCTATTATTCGACAATTAGAGAACGAAACATGATGGTTTTCTTTTATCATTTGTCACATTATCTTGTGGAATTCTTTCGAGTTTCTCGCCTATATAAACTGTATCGTTTATTATAGTGTTGTAGGGTATTCAACGGTCGGCCCCGCTCGACTGTAGCCTTTGCTTACTTGTTTTTTTTTTTTTTTTTAATTTTATAATTTTAGTTACATTATTCACCGAATCTCGCATTTGAATATTGTAATGGTTTATGACAAAAGTTGTCTATGCAGGTCCACGTTCACTAATATAACGAATACATTCGGTATTTTTAAGATTTTATAAGAATTTTATTTTTTGAAAATTGCCAAATTCGTTTGAAATGGTGGTGGGTACGTAAAGTTCGGCCCGGCCGAACTTACAGCTTTTTTACTTGTGTTTTACTTATGTAATTCTTTAAAATTCACCAGAAACTCAATAACAACAAAAAATGATAAAAGGCAACCGAATTGAATTCTATAACAATAAAATCAACATTCAAAAAGTGATTGAAGAGCAAGGCTTGCAAGACACCGATGAGGCATTGTTTGTGTGCGATCTAAATGATCTTCGCAGGAAATATGAGATATGGAATCAGCTGATGCCACGAGTTAAGCCCTATTATGGTAACCAATGCAATTATTACACATCTCCATGTCATATCCAACTTAATCTCTTCCCCTTAGCTGTAAAGTGTAATGATGATCCGGTGGTTCTCAAAACCTTAGCTGATTTGGGTGCCAATTTCGATTGTGCCTCAATGGGTGAAATAAAATTGGTTCTGGCTGAGAATGTTGAGCCCGAACGCATTATATTTGCCCAGCCGTGTAAGCCATTGACACATGTGGCCTATGCCAAGGCGAAGGGTGTTATGACCTCTATCGTTGATTCAGAATATGAAATACTGAAGTTACATCAGCATTTTCCGGAATCCAAGTAGGTGTTCGATTCCTTGACTCTTTTTATTTTTTATTTTTCGAAAATCATATTTTTTGCATTTGTCCTACAGTTTGGTAATACGCATTCGTTGCGATGCCACCGATGTCAAATTGTCTTTTGGTGAAAAATTTGGTTGCAATGTCAAGACAGAGGCTCCGGCTTTAATGTTACTAGCCAAAGAATTGAATTTAAAGGTGAGTACTGGCCAAATTCTGAGTTTGTGAAACGAACTGTAGCACTGAGTTGGTAAGTACCGTAACCTTTGTAAACGAACTAGTAGTATATTTACATTTTAAATGGTCAATTTCGTTATATATATTTCAAATAAATACTCATCGAAGTGGGTAATCCAGCAAAAAGCTCAAATGTAAACATACCAAAAAGGCTTTAAAAAAAACAAGCCATTTAGATTGTCAATTAATTTGATAGAGGCTAATATACAGGGTGAGATAAAAAACTGCAATAAAGTCAAACGCCATAGTTTTCACATTTTTTTTTCAAATTTTATTGAATGAAAGAAAAATTGTCGAAAATAGCTTAAAATTTCAGAATAAGTTTAGATTTGTTTAAATTGGTCAACTTTGGAACGAACTATGGCCTTCAAACGGCCAATAAAACTGGCACATGCTGCCCGAATATTCCTCTGCGGTATTTTGACCCATTTCCGGCGAAGCGTTTGCTTGAGGTGATCGACACTTTGGTATTTTTAGTGCCAACCTTGCTTTCCAAAATTCTCCAGACACAATTATACAACGGATTGGTATCCGGAGATTTTGGTGTCCGAACCATTTCTGCTGATGTTGCTGTTTCCTTCCGTCCACTTCCTAGACGTCGGGCTACGCTAACAGTAGCACGGTAACGAGCGATGGTACGAGACACAAAAGATTTATTCACATATAAATGCTGGAGTGCTCTAACGATTGCCACTTGTGGTTTTCAAGCTAAACATAAAGAAATCACACTATCACGCTTGAATTCCACCACGAATAACTTTTTTTCTGGAAAACTCTCAACAAAATGCTTTTGTGCGCTTGTAAACAATATAATGAGCTGTCACTGGAATAATTTTAACAGCTGTCGGCCGAGTGGCTTAGAAATGACAGCAGTCTGAAATTGGTTGCAGTTTTTCATCTCATCCTGTATTCATGAGCATTTTAAGTAATTTACTTCTTCTTATTTTGGTAGGTAATTGGTATTAGTTTCCATGTGGGTACCGGTTGCAATGAGCTGCCAGCATATGATCGGGCAATCACTGAATCGAAAATTCTTTTTGATTTTGGTACGAAACTCGGATTCAATATGAGCCTCTTGGATATTGGTGGGGGATTTCCGGGCAGTGATAATGTGACGTTCAAAAAGGTTTGAAGAACTGTCAAAGGAGGGGGTATTTTTCTAATTTATTTATTTCATATGCAATATTTTTTCTTAGATCTCTGATATTGTGTGCCGTTCTCTGGAACGCAATTTCCCAGAGGACAATGTGAACATCATTGCGGAGCCTGGAAGATATTTTGTGGAGTCGGCTTACACTTTGATTTGTAAGGTGCATTCGAAGCGGGAGGCGAAATCTTGCGATGGTGGCATAATCAAGCATTATTATTTGAATGATGGGGTCTATGTGTCATTCAACAATGTCGTGACGGAAAATTATAAAGTTGTCGTCGAACATTTGTTGGTAAGTAAACTTGATTTAACTTATTCGGGTTTTATTTCTTTGCGAATCTAATGTAGACATCATATTATTGTCCATTTAGACTAGTCATTTAAAATCGACTCTATTTCTAAATCCAACTTCCTAATCCCAATTGTTTGGTGAAGTTTGAAATGATATAAAATGTTCGTGTGTTGATCATTGTTTACGTATACATCCATGTTTTTTATATCCTACACCACATAGTGGTAAGGGTATTATGTCTTCGGGCATTTGTTTGTAACATGGAAAAGTAAGCGAGATAAACCCATAGGTACTATTGAGGATCTTCATAGAATCACTTTCTGAGTCGATGTCAGACCGCCTGTCCGTCCGTCAATGTATTCTTGTGAACAAAATGCAGGTCGCATTTATTAGCCGATTGAGATGATTTAATTGTGCACCAAATGGACAATATCAGTCCAAATGACCTGAATTTTGACATATCTGACCGAATTCAGTCTAGAAGCAAGAACATCGAAATCGGAGAAAATCGGTTCAGATATATGCTTTCGACAACAATGATATTAGGTACCAGATATCTTATAGAGCCCAGAAATAACTCTTCGTAATTTTATCAAGATCGGTTCAGGTTTGGAAATAGCTCCAATATACATATACTTAACCGATTTCGGGTTAATTGTGCACCAAATAGCCAATATCAGTCCAAATGAACTGAATTTTGGCATGTCCCACCGAATTAAGTCTAGAAGTAAGTACATTAAATTTAATGAAAATCGGTTCAGATAAAGCTATAGCTCCCATATGGCCAATATTAGTCCAAAAGTCCTGCATTTTGTACATACGGCCGAATTCAGTCTAGAAGCAATTACATCGAATTTGGAGAAAGTCCGTTCAAATGTAGCTATAGCTCCCATATATATGTTTCATCCGATTTGGTATTTAAGTCGCTCAAATTCGCAATATGCTTTCGACAACAATGATATTTGGTACCAGATATTTTATAGAGCTCGAAAATACCTTTGCCAAATTTTATCGAGAACGATCAACAGTACGTTTACATATAACTGGGTAAACCCACTGGATTTGGATTTTAGCCCATTTCCGACGACGCGCTTGCTTAAGATGATCGACACATTTGTATTTTTGAGTGGCAACCTTGCTTTCCAAAATTCTCCAGACACTATAGTCCAACGGAATGGTATCCGGTGATTTTGGTGGCCATTGTGCGCTGGAAATGAAGCGAGGAACCTCATTTTGTAACCATTCTTGGGTGGCGGTTGAGTTCTGGTGGCCAACCAAAGGTGCACATTTTCAGATGACCTCTTTGGCAAGTAAACACGATCATTTAGTTTGTTTACAAACTGCTGGACAACGAATTTTTTCTAATGGGAGAAAACCAAATGAGGCAGTTTACCACTTTCGGCCAAACGAAGCAACTCTTTAGCTCTTTTGAGTCTACTTTCTTTCTGTTGCGGTGTAAGTTCTTACACTTTTCGGAATTTCAATGGCTTTACCCCGAGCTCATTTTTCAATATTTTCCGAATGGAATGTTGCGATATGTTCAGCTCATGAGCCATTTTTCGGCCTCTGCTACGCGGCCGAACACATAGTGTTGTAGGGTATAAAAATATAATTTTCCAAAGGTTATATAGGGAGGGAACTTTCCAATAGTATATAGAATGTCTTCGACAATAATGCGTGAAATATCTTACACCTGCACTCTAAGATCCTATCTCCTATCTATTGAAGAGTGGCATGAATTACAATTTCTCCAATACTTTTTATCAATACAAAACTGAACATCTTTTCAGGATAACAAAAATATTACGCCAACGTTTAATTCAATTTTGTGGGGTCCAACTGGAGACTCTTTGGATAAGGTAAATATATACAACTTAAATATGTATGATGTCCCCAAAGTTGTCATCGTGTTGTTGTAGGTTGGAGAAAATCTCGATTTGCCCGATTTGAAGTGTGGAGATTTCTTGATTTTCCCCAATATGGGTGCCTATAGCTTACCGCTGTCGACACGTTTCAATGGGTTTGGATCGCCAAATATTATATATTTTGATAGAACCATCTTAACGGAGGATAATGTCGAGGAGAAATTTAGAAGCATGCGCATTACTTCATATCCGGGCGTTTAAATCAATACAAAAACATTATAATGGACATTTTCAAAGCAATAATAAAACCTTAGAAACCCAGTCTTTAATTTTGATTGTTTTTATAGCGCGTTTACATACGAAATCTTTAGACGGGGTAAGAGTGATAATTAACCCTCGACTTTATTGTGAGTAGTCAATTATCATGGTTTACCCGAAAAATGATGTGAATGTATGTGAACGCACTTTTATGGCTTTAGCAAAGTTGGAACCTTAAGAATTCCTCTCTATGAAGACATAATTTTTCAAATCACTCAGTATTGAAATCTATATTATCATAACGATCACTTATTCACCTTCCTAGGATGGAGAGGAAGCTGTTGTAATGCCAACATACAAAACGATATTGTGGGGTCCCACTTGTGATCCCCTTGATAAGGTATGATCTCGCATTTGTAAAATCAACATAAAATATACGAATTTGGAACTTAAATCATTTATTATACAGGTTGGTGACAGTCTGGAATTACCCAATTTGGAGTGTGGAGATTTCTTGATATTCCCCAATATGGGTGCCTACAGCATACCGCTAACAACACGTTTTAATGGTTATGGTCGAAATAGTGTTTTGTATTTCGATAAAATTGCAATACACGATAATAAGGAGGATAGATTTCGGCGCACATTTTTAAAAGACAAGTCAAAATAATAATTGTATTCTGTTTTTGTAACTCAAATAAAAGTCAGTTAAAACAACTAATATACTATTTTTCAAAAAGGGAATCAAAACTTTATACTGTTACAAGATATAAGACCCACAAAAAATAGGAGAGGCAAAATTTAAACAAAAAGAAAAAAAAAGCTGTAAATTCGGCCGGGCCGGACTTTGAATACTCTTTACAATTTGGAACGAATTTAGCAATTTTCAAAAAAAATAAAATCCGTTAAAAATTTTGTTAAAATAAAACAAGTAAAAAAACATTAAGTTCGGCCGGGCCAAACTTTTAATACCCTCCACCTAAAGAAACATTAGAAGAAATGTGGCAAAAACCATTTAAATACCGAATATCGGGAGATACCGTTAAATGGGGGCTACACCAAAACGTGGACCTATAATTACAATGTTTCGCCACACGAACTAGGACCCATTATAATCCATAAATACAAATTTTTAGACAAATCAGTGAAAAAATGTGGCAAAAACCATCAAAATACCGAATATCGGGAGGTACCGTTATATGGGGGCTATACCAAAACGTAGGCCTATACATGCAATGTTTTGCCACACGTACAGGGACCCGTTATGACCTACAAATACCAAATTTTCAAGCAAATCCGTGGAAAAATGTGGCATAAATCATCAAAATACCGAATATCGGGAGGTACCGTTATATGGGGACTATACCAGAACGTGGACCGATATATCTCATTTTCAATACCAACCATCCTAGACACAATGCGAATTGCTCTGCAAAATTTTGGCGCTCTACGTGAAATACTGTGGGCTGTATCGTGATTTCAACAGACAGACGGACAGACAGACAGACAGACAGACAGATGGACAGACAGACAGACAGACAGACAGACGGACAGACAGACAGACGGACATCGTTAAATCGACTTAGAATTTTATGCTGATTATGAATATATATACTTTATGGGGTCTACGACGAATATTTAAGGATGTTACAAACGGAATGACAAAGTTAATATACCCTCCTTACCAAGGTGGTGGGTATAACTAGTAAAGAAAGGCTTAAAGTCGGACGGGGCCGACTTTATGATACCCTACACCATTTTGCTAATTTAGTAGAGCTCCACATAACAATTAAAAGTTTTTATGGGAGAGTTCAACCATACACGCTACGATTATAATTATAATTTTAAGTTCAAAAGACTCAATATGCCGAAGCATTTGTATCTTTTAAAATCGGACTCGTAATGCCCATTTGGTGCACAATTAATTTGAAATTGGATAAAGATATATATGGGAGCTATATCCAAATCGGAACCGATCTCGATAAAATTTGGCAAAGATATTTCTGAGCTGCATTTGATATATTTCCCCAAATATTGTTGTTACAGAATGCATATTACGGCTGCGGAGGACAAAAATAACAAATCGGATGAACAATATATATGGGAGCTATATCTGAACCGATTTCGATCAAATTTGGCATACTTATTTTCAGGCCTAATTTGGTTGTATGTGCAAAATTCCATATTTTTGGGCAAATATTAGACATTTGGTGCACAAAAAAGGGCAAATCGGACGAAGATATATATGGGAGCTATATCTAAGTTTTGACCGATTATCTCCAATTTCAATAGGGCCAAACAAATGATATGTGCAAAATTTCATCTGGATAGGGCAATAAATACGAACTGTTTGTTTACAAAAATACATGGACAGACGGACGGAACTATGGGTCTATCTCGTTTCCTTTTGCCTGTTACAAACAAATGCACAAAGACATAATACCCTGACCACCTTGTGGTGTAGGGTATAAATACCGAATGTAGCCGTTATGTTAGAATCTATACAGCCACGTGGACCTGCATAGCAACTTTTGTCATAAGCGATTACAGTATTCAAATGCGAAACTAGAAAAAACAAGTAAAAAAACTGTAAGTTCGGCCGAGCAGAACTTTGAATACCCTCCACCATTTGGTACAAATTTAACAATTTTCAAAAAAACTAAAATCCGTTAAAAAATCTGTTAAAATCTAGAAAATACCTAAAAATACCTAATATATTATATTAAAAATACCTATATTAGAGTCTATACGACGACGTGGACCATGATGGTTATAAAACGTGGATCTGCGCAGACAATTTTTGTCTTAGGCTGTAGTATTCATTACGAATTTCAAATACCAAATTTGAAATAATTCCGTTATATGGGGGCTATACCAAAACGTGGACCAACATGGCCAATTTTCAAAACCAAAAGTCCTACAGACATAATATACAATTGAATAAAATTTTATCAATCTACTTCATTTCGTTCGGAAGCTAGAGTGATTTCCACAGACGGGCAGACGGCATTTTTGTGGGGACTAAAATGTATATTTCGAGGTAATATAATATACCCTCCATACTATGCTGGAGGGTATAAAAAGATAGATCCATAGCTCGTCTTGATGATCTTCATAGAATCATATTCTGGCGCGATTTATGCATGTCCGTCCGTCTGTCAATGTATTTTTGTAAGCAAATTACATGTTCGATTGCAATGAAAAATTTTTGTTTGGCCCAAAGACGAATCCTAATGAAATTGGTTCAATTAAACCAGATTTAAATATAGCTCCTATTGTGCACCAAATCCATAATTTTTCGCAAATTTGACAAATTTTAGCGCACATGACCGAAGTTAGGCTATAAAGGCTAATATATACTTAAGGTTAGAGATATATGTAGATCTGCATTTATGTTAAGCAATTTTATAACTTGATCGAAACCCACGTCGCAGTGGCCGAAAAATGGCTCGTGAGCTGAACATATCGGCAAATATTGAAAATGAGCTCAGGGTAAAGCTATTGAAATGTACAAGAACTTACACCGCAACAGAAAGAAAATAGACTCAAAAAAACTAAAGAGTTGTTTCGCTAGGCCGAAAGTGGTGAACTGCCAAATTTGGTTTTCTCCGATGAGAAAACATTCTTTATCCATCAGTTTGTGAAGAAACAAAATGATCGTGTTTACTTGCCATAGAAGTCAGCTGAAAATGTGCACCTTCGGTTGGCCACCAGAACTCAAGTGCCGGCCAGGGTGATGGTGTGGGCCGCCATAACAGCCAATTGTCGTTCTCCGCTCGTATTTAAAAAAGACTTGGGCACCTAAACATTTTGGCCGCAGACCCCGGACATTTCCAACAAGACTCAGCACGCGCCATCCAAGAATGGTTACAAAATGAGGTTCCTCGCTTCATTTCCAGCGCACAATGGCCACCAAAATATCCAGATACCTATCCGTTGGACTATTGTGTCTGAAGTATTTTGGAAATCAAGGTTGGGAATAAAAATACCAATCATGTCGATCAACTCAAGCAACGCTTCGCCGGGAATGAGCCAAAATACCGCAGAGCAACATTCGGACAGTGTGTGCCAGTTTCATTTGCCGTTTGAAGGCCATAATTCGTACCAAAGGTGACCAATTCGAATAATATTTGATGCTATTTCCGACCTTTTTTGCTTTCATTCAATAAAATTAAAAAAATGTAAAAACTATGGCGTTTGACTTTGTTGCAGATTTTATACCCTACACCACAAGGTGGTCAGGGTATTATGTCTTTGTGCATTTGTTTGTAACAGGCAGAAGGAAACGAGATAGACCCATAGTTCCTTTGATGATCTGCATAGAATCACATTCTGAATCGATTTATGCATGTCCGTCCGTCTGTCCGTCCGTCTGTCCGTCCGTCTGTCCATGTATTTTTGTAAACAAAGTACAGGTCGCATTTATTGCCCGATCCAGATGAAATTTTGAAAAGATATTTTGTTTGGCCCAAGGACGAACCCTATTGAAATTGGAGATAATCGGTCAAAATTTAGATATAGCTCCCATATATATCTTCGTCCGATTTGCCTTTTATTGTGCAACAAACGTGTAATATCAGCCCGAATTGTATGGAATTTTGCACATACACCCAAATTAGACCTGAAAATATGTATGCCAAATTTGATCGAAATCGGTTCAGATATAGCTATAGCTCCCATATATATTGTTCATCCGATTTGTTATTTTTGTCAACCGCCGCCGTAATATGCACTATGCAACAACAATATTTGGGGAAATATATCAAATACAGCTCAGAAATACATTTGCTAAATTTTATCGAGATCGGTTCAGATTTGGATATAGCTCCCATATATAACTTCGTCCGATTTACCTTTTATTGTGCACTAGGCGTCTAATATTTGTCCAAATGGGATGGAATTTGGCAATTCCAATTCTTCCGATTTTAGGTTAAAAATGTTTTTTTTTATACCCTCCACCATATTATGGAGGGTATATATTAGCTTCGTCATTCCGTTTGTAACTTCTCGAAATATTCATAATAGACCATACAAAGTATATATATTCTGGATCAGCGT